TAAATTTTAATGTTACATATGAATATTATATTTAAAAATATATATTACACAACAAAAAGCATTGAGTCTAAGATTGACTTTCAATTTATTCAACGAAAATAAACTTCTCCATTCAGTAAACCATATTTTAACCATGATAAATAAGAAATTTAAACATATAACATTTGTTTGAAATATGTTTTTAATCACAGAGAATGAAAATTTACAACCATCTTTCTATTACTAATTGTTGTTACATATTTTGCTTAATAAATGTCCAGTTTATTGAATTAAATAATATTACATTACCTGAAAGTAACTGAGAATGGTGTGGCTTTTCATTTTACAACCTTTCACAAACTTATTTATAAACAATACTAGTTATCAATCTGTAATCCATAAGGTTAAGCGATATTTTAAATTGGTAAATAAATGGAAAAAAATAAAAGACCTGCAGGTCACCCTTGATCCTTTATATTGACTAAGGAATATACTAACAATATTAGATGTTTTCACCAAGTATACTTATGAAACCACTGTAGGACATGAAATACTAGAACTCTACAAGCAAGAAATTGGCGAATTTTAAGTATTCAGATACATTTTTTATTAAGTAATGAAATTATTTTACAGTGGGAAATAATAATTTTGTAAACAGTCAATAATACACAAATATTTTGCTTTGCAATTAACACGAAGCCAATTTTTCAAAAATTCATGCGAGCGTATTAATTAGTTTATTTATGCAACTGTATTAATCTAATTGGAATAATTGTTGTACAAATAGAACACTTCAACTGGTAACCATCAATTCATATCATTTAAGTGTTGATGAGATAGCATCTTTCATAATAAAGTCTTATGCATTTATACGAAATACATTCCTCTCTAATCTAAGATGCGGAACAGTATAAAATTCATTGTTTTTATTTTTGAGTTTCTCTGTCATGTGTTGAACGGCTATTTACGCAACATTATAGTCACAAACCTAGTTCAAAGTGAATGAAAAAGCAAATCTAACTTATTAAGTTTTATGTATTAGTAAGATTTGGCAAATACCATAACTATCCATTCTTCTGAAATTAGGTGAGTTCAACAAGACTGAAACAAAAATATCTAATGAATTTAAATTCAACATGTTTAAAAGTAGAAAGACAGACTTAAATGGAAACACTTATAAAGGGCATCAACTGAGATAAATAGGACATGAATAAACATTATTAGATATTATCTAAGTTTACTTACAATAATGTTTAAATTAACTTTATACAGAGAGGAATCTCCAGGTAGTTGACATTTTCATATGACAATGGTTCATAAACTCCTAATGGTTGTTCAGAATGAAAGTGAACTCTTCACTTAGAATGTATATGCATACAATCATAGAGAGTTGAAAATTAACTCATCGGTAAATTATTAAATTTACAATTCTGTGATCCCATTTAAGTTGATTAATTGTGAATGTTTTTATGAAACGTCATTTTCCAGTTAATCTCTAATTTAAAAAACTTACTAAGCTAAATATCGATTTCGCATGCACAGATTTTTAATTGTAGTAATCTTTTTCCTACTTATATTATTATCTACATCTTAGTGCTTAAGTTTTCCATAATTTTTTTTTGAAGTTGATGAGTAGTGCCTAAAATTTAAACAAGGCAATATATCAAGATTCAAATTAAATTAGATAACCGATTACTTTTATTGATAGGACTGAAAAACCTGTATTCAGATTTTTTATACACTATTAGAATATATCAGTACAGAGAGTTTGCAAAGGTTAGGGAACTGCTTGTAGTTTAAATCAAATGCTAATCTTAATTAAACAACCATTTAAACCAGGAAACATTAAACAGCTGTTCCATTCTGATAGCAGACTTCTCAACGGTACACATTCACGACTCTGTTATGATGAGAACCGAGAATCTTGAAGTCTCGCGGTGAGCGCTAAGCCTCTGTACCAATGGGTTGGCATTCGATAATTTACATATCTGAATTCAGTTAATACTCGATATTGGACGGCTATCTTCTATAGCATGCAGCAGATAACTATTTGATGTCCCGCATGGTCAAACACTGCCAGTCACGGCTTCTCAGTAAAAAACCATGAAATTACCAGTCCTAGTTTATCTCTAGTGAGCACAAGATTATTGGTAACAAAAAAAGTGTGAAGACTAATAAAATTCCACAGCATGATACACGTCAATATCGCCAATCGATTGAGTTAAGACACGCACACCATTGAATGCTGGCTCGATAATCTGAAAATTATCTAGTTATGATGAGACTGAAAGTCCTGGTTTCGATTTATGTTGGATGCACACTTTTGAGAAGTTTTATACTAGAATAAAAATTCTATCTAGTGGTTCTTGGTTTTAGATGATTGTCCAGCTATGATTGAAACCTTCTAAATCTAGAATTAATTTGTATACTAAATAGAGAAGGGTGAATTAAGGAAACAGTTGAATGATTTTCGTAAAAATAAATGTAGTGCATTGACTGTCTCAAATATTTAACCGAACTTTGAATCTTTTAATTACATGAACAAGGATGAGGAGTGAAAATATCAGCAGGAAAATCGATTATCCTTTAAAATGAAAATATCAAGCTTCTAAAAATAGTTTATATAAATAAGTAGGTTTTTAAAATTACTTATGAAAAACTAAAAATTGAAAGTTTCCAACTATCGGAATGCAGAAAACATGTAGAAAAATGACTTTAAAAAATGGAACCTGAGAACCGAAACTCATTTCAACCAATGACGATGCTGTCACCATGGTATTTTTGTTAAACTTTTGGGATATCTCTACACGGTATATATATAGTAATCTACTATGTTTTGGAAAAGTAAATTTTGTGTCAATTGATGTAGTTAATTTAAAAATGTCATAAAGAATTTTTTTAAGGATTTTCGGCATTTATGAATTTTTCGTGTCTACCATTTCCCGCTATCAAATTTGGGTTTGTTTGGTCACTTTTTGTATGCGAAAGTGTTTAGCACTGTAATAATTAATTTAATAATACTCTTAGCTGCATCCAAATTGTGACTTTATGTTTCTTTTAAACCCACTTAACGGCTTATATTCAATAATGTGCCCATCCTTATTGAGTACTGACTTAATTACTCATTCATGTAAAATCTCTTCATATATGAATGAGCTATCCAAAGAATATTTGCATTCACTATATGGTATTCATTATGAGATAAACCGGATATTAATTAAAAAGTGCATAATAAGCACGATGGTAACGCTGAGAAAAATTATCCCTCTGGATTATCTGAATGGTAATTTTACTATTATTTAGTCATTCACTCACCTGCATTATTCTTTTGGTATTCTTGAGTTCCACTTAGATAAGTCTCTAAAGTCATTAATTCTCTAATTTGTAGATGAATCTTCCTTTTAAATGATACAAACCAGGAACTACAGTAGTTAGTAAGGCTGTAATAGCTTTAAAAATTTATAGGCATTATAGACGTTGAAAGAATACTTTTTTGTATAACATTAGGTTTTTCTTATTTTGTAGCAATGAGTGAAAAGCGTCTACACTCTATATTTGAATACAATCATGTCAAAATTATAGTAAATAATGAAGATATGATTTGAATTAAATTAACTTACAAAACGTTGTGTAAAATGGATGTGTTAAAATGTTTTAGATAGTTCAGAATATGTGTAGTCAACCAAGTCTGAATTTAAATGAACACTCAATGTTAGCAACGGCTGATGCTTCAGAAATATCTAGAATTCACTGTAGAACCTGAACAACTAGTCTTTGACCAAGTGAATGAATGGTGTCGTATTTTTTGAGAAACCAATGGATTTCAATTGTTGAGATCATGGGACAATTGAAGCTAGATCACCATGGAAAACCTGGAAGGAATGGACGGCCGTTTCACCCTATTGTCAGACTCCTCAGCAGTGCGCGTCCATGATCCCGCCCCACGGAATTCGAACCTTGCTCCTTTCAGTCAAGACTTACACAATTCTTTCTATAATTTTGTAGATTATTATTCTTATCAACATAAATGTGAGATAGTAAATCACTGATGACAATAGTGGATGTATCGCTCAATTTCGTGGATTATTTGAAGTTAGACATTAACACCATTGGATGCCGGCTTAGTAGTCTGGTGGTTAAAAGCTCTCGCACGAGACCAGTTGGACCTGGGTTCGAATGCCGCGAGGCAGGGTCGTGGATGCGCACTGCTGAGGAGTCCCACAATAGGGCGAAGTGACCGTCCAGTGCTTTCAGGTTTTCCATGGTGATCTATTTGCAACTGACTCATGATCTCAACTATTGAAATTACTAAAATCCCCACAAAACCCTCCTCTGATAAAAACCAATAAATTTTGAATTTGACACCATGTAAGATTTTTATTGTGTAACACCGGCGTATACAAACCTAAAGCAGATATCAAATCTACCGTTGTTTCCTCTAATATGTCATTAAATCTCCAACCGAGTTGAAACAATCTTTCAAACTAAGCAAGTCTCCTGATACGCACTAAAACGTCCGCATCAACTCGATCTCATATGTAACTTGTCAGATTCCAACCTTTGAGAGACTTATCACACTATTATGATGTATCAGAAACACGGTTCGTAAATGCACTAACAGACTGATTTAAAAAACTGTTCAAAGATAAAATCACAAAACTATATAAGTAACAATGACAATCAAAGGTAGAAAATGAAAGTACCAAGCTCAGGGAGTATAAAGTTTCGTAGTCGAACATGGTTCTGAACTGTTATAAGAAAGTAATGATGACAAGTTTTCCGAAACATGTGAACGTATATTGTAATGATACGAAAACACATGACAATCAATCCCGAAACATTTAAATGGTTCATCAACATAAGAACAAAGAAGGGAAATTTGAAAAAAATTACTGGATATCAATAACGATTACTCTTTTCATTTGAAACCTACATGTTAAATTAAGAAATATAGGTGAAGCAGTTAGTGTAATCATATCTAAAGTATTCATAAATCTCCTAACCATTTTATTTTTTTATAGGTAACTTAAGTGAGAAATATCAAAATATATTTCATCGAAATCCACTTTTTGTTGGTATGAGAGTTCCATTTGCAAAAGAAATCGATCCATTGGATAAACGACTAGCTAAGGTTTCGAAACTAACTCTTGGATTTATAAAGGTAATTAAAAACTGTGACACGTATTTTATATTACCTAAAAAAAACAACCAAAAAAATATGGTAATCATTTAAATGAGTAGCCACTTACTGAGTTATAATACTAATTTTAGTCAGTATATTTGAAATTATAGTTTATGAGTTGGCAAAGTTTGGAATCCAAGTATCACAGTGATTCGAATTTTTCGGATTCAGTTTGTCTTATTTGTCGTTTTTGTGGCAGTGATAGTATTATTTTTATGTTCAGAGATGGGAAGTCTTAAAGTGAAAAATTACAGTAGCATCACTGATGTATGAGTTGTTAATAACATTTAAGGTATCAAGATTTTAGTCAATTAATGTGTACATGACAAAGACTTATTGCCGCAGAAATAATACTTGACTCTGCATATTCATTCACTTTGAGAGACGTTTTATAGCAAAATTAAAACTACAACAAACCGAAAACTGTTTAACTGCTAAAGAAGGAGAATTTTGTATTTTGATAAGATTTTCTATGAGAAACTGAAAAATTTTGAAATTCCATTGTTTACTATAAAGTCTTGACAATAGGTTAGGTTATGTTGTATTCCACCACATATAAAATAATAAAAAATAAGCCACACACGATCGGGTACGATCTTTATGCTGATTCAAAATGTTTTAGTTTTAGGATCATGTCAATAAATTTTATATGCGTTTGTCTTAAAATTACGAATTTAGTGTTACAACATGTGTTGGAGTATAGAATAATAAATACAAATTATAGTAGGAATTTTGAACATTTTCATTTCATTATCAATCATGTCATCATGAAAATTAAAACGCACTCATCAAACCAATAAATTAAAGTTTGGAACATAGTTAATTCTGGGACTTCGTCATAGTAATTTATGAGGAATCACATGAAAACAAAAACACACTTGTTGATATTACGCAATTTAAACTAATATTCCATAAAAGAAACTCCTAATTAGTATGCGGGTTTAAATAATTTTCTTGTATAAGTTTGATATAAGTTTCAGTTTTTGTAACTAAAGTACATCAAACCTTTATTAATAAAAATATTACTGTTTGCAACATTGGGCTGATAAAAAAGCCTGATAATAGGATTCATTTTACTAGCATAGGGTTTTGAAGATTGTTGAGTTTTTAATTGAGATCATGAGTAAATGAATGTTATACCGCCAACAAAAACCTGGAATTCCTGGACGACCGTTTCGTCCCAGCAAGAACCTCTTTAATAGTACGCATCCACGATCACTCACTGCTGAGGAGTCCCTTACAAGGACGAAACGGTCGTCTAGTGCTTCCAAGTTTTTGATGGTGGTCTAACATTCATCGACTTGTGATTTCAATCAAGAATAAACTCACTTTATTTTACAATTTTTTCGTCTTTGCTGTGCTTAAAGTTTCCATTGGACCATGTTGTATGAGACTCTTTGATGACTTTTCCCAAATATGACCGTATAACGTCCATATAATTTGAACAATGAATATAAAATAATGTAAAAGTAGATATGATATTTGAAGAGGTAGTTATTCACAGCTCTATATTCACAAGTTATACTCTGTATACTTGATTTTTATTAACCTGTTCTTCCACATAATTATAAAGTTTGTTTTGCATAAACAATAACTTTCACTTAATTCATTTGTGAATAACCTTGAATATTTTTTAGTAATTTTCAAAATCTTTAAATATTCATGGTCTGTTAGAGTTGTCTTCGAATCGATGCTAACGATCGACCGACATCATCTGCTCTTTTACGAAGTGAATATTTCACTAGTGAGAATTTTGCATCTATATTCTTGGAAGAACTAAAAACATTATTTAAAAACGAAACAAACTCAAATGTACCTTCATCCTCTACGAATATCACCAGTAATAAAAATACCGTTAATAATCTTAACAATAATAGTAATCAAACACAAGTTAAAAATGATCAACAATGTAAAATCAGTAATAATAACAGTAATTCTGTACAGTCAAAGGTTTCTAACACAACCACGACAACGATGACACCAACAATAACTTATATTACTACTACTACTACTACTACCACTGGTAATACGTATACTGATACTAGCACTACAACAACTACTGCTGTTAAACTTTTTTCGTCGGATATAATGAATGTGGAAAACCCAAATAAAGATAAAACGATAACTCCAGATTATGTTGATTTGTCAGTAACATCACAAACTGGTCTACATTATAATGAAATTAATGAAGTGAGTCGTCTCTACACATAGTGATTTATGCACATTGTAACTTGTAACAATGTTTAGTAATTGACTAGAATTGTTTCAATCATGCAAATTGAATTTAATATTTGATAAAAAGGAGCTATGAAACTAAATTGATATCATGAATGGATCAATGTTAGACTACCATAGAAAACCTGGAACCACTGGACTGCCGTTTGGCCTTATATGTGACTTCTCTGTTGTGAGGCAGTTAACCGCTGGAGATAATGGTGGATGGTCACTCAGTATCGTGGATTGCTTGAAGTTAGACATTAACACCGTTGAAAGTCGGGTCAGTGATCTAGAGATTAAGCCTTCATCCACAAGACTGAAGACCCTGGGTCTGAGTCCCGCTTGCAGGATCGTGGATGTGCACTGCTTAGGGGTCTCACTCTAGAACGGCCATCCAGTGCTTCCAAATTTTCAGTGATGGACTAACATTATTCAATTCATGAAACCAATTTAAACTGAACAGTCTCCACAACCCTATACTGTTAAAACTATGGATTGATTTTTTTAATATTCAATAACCTACGTCTAGCTAGATATAATAAAAAAGCTTAAATTTACAAATTATTTTAAACTAAAATGATAGAAATAATAGATGAGTCTGTATTATTTAACAAGTCACATTTATGTGAATATCATTACAGCAATCAAAGAAAAAAGAATTATAGAAACTCAGTAAAGTGTCTTGGAGTTCAATAAAAACATTGACCAATTTCACAAAAATTTACTTGAATTAAAATATATAAATCTTTAGCTAACCGACTGTTTCGATACTAAATGTTAAAACTTAAAGTTTACTATAATTATAAATGTACTGTAAGCAGTACTTTTGTATTTTTATATAGTCGATAAATTGATATTACTATGTACGTAACATGGAATGAAGATCTTGTGTTAAAAAAAGAAATCATTATTCCTCGTAAAGGTACCAATAGTATTTAAAAACTAATGTATTTGTCTATCAATTTCTGTGCCTATCAGATAAGTATAACAGTAGTTCAGAGATAAAAAAAGATGAAACTTACTACGAAATAGACATAAACATACTCATTACAATTTTTTTTGGTTTAATCGTTTTATGTATAGTGAACCTACGAATATTTGTGATGGGTCATATATTTAGTAAGTGGATACTGTTATCTATTTAAGTATTAACGAGATTCCGTAAAGTAAGTTTTTAAAGAAGTGAAATAAAGTTTCTTCTCATCTCTGCTAATTTTTATTAACACTAATGTTCGGAATAACTCAAATTTCATTTCTCCTCTGACTTCAAATCTTTCAATCGATTTTGTAAAGACTTATATCGCAATCGTTAAATATCAGGACATGCATTTTCAGAGCGATTAGAATATATGAGATAATACTGTCGAATTTACATCATGTAGATGTTTTTCAAATCCTGAAAATGGTTTTCATGAAGCAATTGTAGCACATATTCAATACATTCCTAAGCAGTCAAGACTTACATAATCCTTCCTATAATTTTGTAGATTATTATTCTTATCAACATAAATATGAGATAGTAAATCACTGATAACAATGGTGGATGTAACTCTCAATTTCGTGGATTAGTTGAAGTTAGACACTAGCTTTTGGCGCAAAATTCATTCACCCATATGGCTAAATAGAATCCTGGCACTTTAGTTGATGTCAGTTCGTGATGAAAACCCTAAATCTAATTCCTAACCCTATTCATCAACTATAAATCATAATCCTTATTCTTCAAAGTGCTTTATAACCCTCATATAACCCTAGTAAGTAGGTAGACACCCTCAAAGTCACTTTAGCGTCGCTCAAAGGTTGTCCATAAGTTATAGTCTCACCAAATGTTTCTTTTGCAATAATAAACCCTCCAAAAAAACTAAACTTGATTATTTCTATCTCGCCTCCATAAGATTTACTTAAAAATAGAAAGAAAATGACTTTACGAATAGATTCACTAATTCAACATAAAGGTAAAACGGTGATTCATACATTATCAATAGTGTTATTGGTTTGTATTAACAATTTATACTAAATAAAATTGGATTACTATCATTAAAATGTTATTAAGTTTGTCAGAAGTATAGATTTCTTTTAAATATCTGCTATATGAATAGTCAAAAAAAAAGAATACTCATATTAAGAAATACATCTGTAAACTAGCTATACGATGAATCTTTCTAATACTTTATTATAAAAACAAAACTGATGTTGAAAGATATATATATATATATATATATATATATATATATATATATTACACATTGTCAATATTTTCATATAAACTCAATTTAAATCTGTCAAATAGATTTGTGATACAATATCTACTTTCATTAGTAGAAGGCCATTAAGTTGTTGTATAATTATCTCAAAACAGTTTATTTACATTTATCTATCCTAAATTCTTCCCATGACAGAGTGAGTTGGAGAATGCTGGTCGGCTGCTTATGTTTCATTAGGAGTAACAGGCATAAGTAGTAGTAGTTGTAGTAGTAGTAGTAGTATATTTATATATTTGTTTTATTTTTTTAGCAAAATAAATCATCCACTATTTCTACTGGTTTTTCAAATCACACTAAACCCGCACAAATGGAAGGGAATAAATTAAAATCGACTGTAACTGATGAACAAATTAGTTTAACATATACAACGTCTAATGAAAGAATTGCAACTAAATCTCAATTATATAATGAGTATTTAGTACATGATGAAAATATTGATCCACATGTTAGTTAAATTTTTTATTTCTTTTATCTTTATTTAAATTTCCTAATGATTTTCTCTGAAGTTTTCTAAATCTAGTTCATCTAATGATTTTTTCTATTTTTCTATTTTCTGTTTATATAATCATTGTTAACTATGCATATTATAATAAAAGTAATTTCAGATTTATACAGTTTGGTACATTGATCACTTTTATATGATAAAATTTTTAAACATCCTTCTTTAAATCAAAGGTATGTAAATATCAGAGTATTTCGCATTAAATAAAATTAAAACAGTTATTTCAAGCTTAAATAAATTGTTCTTCTTCCAGACAGCCATTAATATTTAGCGTCTTCGAAAAATGTTTTTAGGAGTCCGTCAGAATTTTGGAAATCTGATAAGATATGTATTTATTCTGTAATAGCCTAATCCAACCTTCCTTTGTTTGCTTTTCTATGAGCATATGGTCTTTTCAACATAACAATCAACTAGATTCACTCCATCAAATATCAACTTTCTTTTCTTGATCTGTTTTCACAGTCGTATAGTGAAAAAAGGTTTTAATAATGATTTGTCTGTCTTGAATATATTGTATACCGGCAATCTTAGGTGAACTGGTGATTCTTGAGGAATTCAGACCTGGATCACCTGCTAACTAACTCCAATCACTTAAAATCTTGACACAGTACATGTCATGCAAATCCATCTAGCCTAGTGATCACATTGCAACCCGATTGATATAGTTTTATCAGTCTTAAACGACTGAAAAATGTGATATTTGTCACTACTTAGTTATTAATCAATCGTATAAAATTATGAAAAGTTAAATGAGGTTTTATAGAAAAAAATGTTTTACAAATTAAAAACCACAAGTTATTGGTTAATTCATCATCTATTCCGGTGCTTTTGCACAATGTATATGTGCTAGATAGAATATTGTAGACCTTTTGTTCTTTTCTTTGCTTACTTAAACATTTTAAAGTAAAAACACTTAACAATAAACGTTTTTTTATTTTCAATCTTAAGCATTTGTTAGATACAATGAATGTTTCAAAAAAACCACACTATGGATCAGATAATGTTTTGAATAGGAACGATGATTCTGATTCAAAAGAACCATTAACAGTAACTGGAAAAATGAATGATCGATTGAATGAGATGCCTTCTATTCCACAAGTACGTAGTTTGATGTAAAACCGTAAAGTTAAACTATGTTGATATATTACAAATGTAGACAGTTAATATAAAACATTTTAACATTTTATTACAGTCATGTAATCTGATTATTTAGCCTTGGTTAGAAATTTCTCTGCTTTATGAAGTCACGAATTTATTTAAGCATGGTACTCTCCAGTGGTGTTCATTCTCAACCCACCAGGGGTTGAACCTAAGATTTTGTCTAATACTTATTGAACAGGAGATTTGCGCATGATGAAAAATACGAATGATTTATTCATGTAAAGTTATTATTTTGAAGGAAATTATGTATTTCATGATTTCATTACGGCTCAATGAGAAAATTGTATTTAATATTGGGTTTATAAACTTGATATCTAACTTGATTTATATTTTCTAGAACTTATGAGACGATTTCCTGATGAAAAAAACAATTAAAGGCTATTCAATAATAATAACATACAACAGTGCTATATCAACCTATTATCCGTTTAGTTTATTACATAAAATGAATATCATCGTTGTCGCAAGTTGACATTGTCCATTAAACTATTAAAAATTGCAGTGTACTAAAAGGCTAATTTTCTAACTTCAGAATTTTCAGTGGTGCACAAGAGTGAGTCAGCGACGTCCATGTTTTGTGGAGCTCAGTTATATAATTCATTTGCACGCTCATCTACACTCTGCAATCATAGTCGATTATCTAATGTTATGAGGTTCGCCTTCATATATTCCGTCAACCTAATGGAAAATGATTTTTAAGTAAAGAATATTATGTTCAAATCAATAACTAGACTGCATTGCATTCGCTATAAGATTTTAACATAGAAATCTTTATTTTGAACACAATTAAAAGTGTAATTCGATGAAATATGTTGTATTTTAATAAAAACGTGTCTAATTCACTTTACTTTTATATAATTCTTCAAACTAACTTAATTTCCCACAAATCACATAAAACGAGTTTAACAAGAAATTTTCGAAAATTTATACTACATTGAAGCAAATATACTTTAATATATTGTGTTCACGTCAGATACATATTATGTTCAGAATAATTTATATCAGAAGTATTCTTTTTGAAAATTATTTACCATTTTGTATAGTATAAATTTCTACAGAATATATTCGGAAAACTTATTTTTCTTTAATATGTAGTTATTATTACTAGCTCATATTATTCAGAAAGAATATTTCTAATCACGAAGTTAAATTCTTGATATTCTGTAAAAAAAGACAGCGCACGACACACACTTTCGATTTACTTTTTAGTTGAATTAATGATTTCAAAGTAATATATGCTTTTTGAATACTATATAAATTGATTTATCAATACATTTAACAAATCAGGTGTAGTTACATTTTATTGCCTCTAAGGAACACTTTATTTTTGATGCAACTAGATTGATCAAACTGTGGTAGACAGACCGGAATTAAACCTTTCAACTCAGGAGCTGAAATCTAAATAAACTAACGATCCAATGACTGATATTAAGATGTAGAGTAATTTATCGTTCTGAAATGTATGTTCTCTAACATAATTATTCTTATTATAGAAATTACCTATCAATCTAGGACTCGGTTTATTTACTTGTTAAATTTCTTTGCTTTCCTGTTATTAGCATAAAAAATAAAGTTCATTAAAGTTAACTTGTGTAATCAATTAATATTTAAGATCATTCTGATTATAATCAATAAAGTTTCTATCATGTTACCAATATTTTTTGCCTTTTTTTATATCAGAAGTCATTTGGTCTACTTACAACGGTTAAATGTCAGAGCCCAAAACCAACAAATCCGATATCGAAGTCTATGTTAGAAGATTTACGTGAACCTTTGAATGATACTGACTTATCCTCGGCTGCCATATCAATATCCCCGTTACAAGTTACAAACTTAACCATTAATGAACAGTCGTTAATAAATACTATTAGCCAATCCCCGTTCAATAGCGGTTTTGTTGCCAAGGTTCGTGGATGGGGTCAAATTATATATATATATATATATATATATATATATATATATATATATATATGTTATTCAACTTAATTATAATGTTAAATTCATCAATAATACACCATTGATTGTTATAATATGGTGGTCAGCTATTTATTAAGTGTTTAGTGATTTTCGATGATAAAACGTATATTTAAGGTTGATATGTCCTTTTTTACCAATAATAATCTATATTTTTTTACTCTCAGATTATAATCATTTATTTGTATTTATATTAGTCATCTGGTTATCACTTTTACTATATAAATCGAATTATTGATTTTGACTGATAATTTATATTATGTGTCTGGTTTTTGATGGATTGCATTGCCAAAATCGATATTACCACCCTATAGAAAACAAACAAATCATTAAAGATGGTTTTACCTCATGAAGTACCATTGAAAGTTAAGATCATTGGACTATTGTATCATCTTATGTTTGACCTCTTTTAATATTTTGAGTAGGCACTTGTGAAAAAAACTTAAAAAAAGTAAATCACTGACAATTGTGCTTTGTTTCCTAATGATTTCTATTTATTGTTTTTTTCTACGAATGTAATAATTTCATTCTGGAATTCTCACTTTTTACTGCCCTCCAAATAAAAGAAAAACAGATAGGATACATTTAATGATTTCATAATAATAATAATCGATATATTAAATATTGTATATTTGATTACACTAAAACTTTCACAGTACAAAATATGTAGTACTTCAGTAAACTTCCATTTTTAACTCTTTGGAATTAAAAAAATCAATTTAAAATGTTTTACAAATGATTATCTGTCATACATTTTCTTTCACAAATCTTCACAATCAATCTTGATTCAATAACACTTCTTTTGTCGCATAATAAGTTTGATGTATGTACTTTATAGCAAATACCTTTGATATTTACAAAGAATAGATAAAGAGGAAAATGTACCAAGAACTAATGGTTACCCCCGAATTAGTGTTATGTCTTAACTGCTTGATAAAAGTATTCATGTACATGTGGTTATCACGTATAATTAGTCACCTAAAATAAATAAAACAGAATGATCTATGTTAATAAGTGTGAATAGGTCACTGGATAAATTACATGATAAATTACTTTGACAGTAAAATTTACACTAGCGATATGAGTTCATAGTTTGTGCGTAATTCTGTTGCTAATAATTGTAGAACTTTCTTCGTAATGAACCAGAAAGACCTAAATTGAGCACCGTAACTATGAATCTTTATATATGTTTTTCTTATTATAACACAGGTTACCGAAGTGCCAAACAAACAAATCGACTGTACTTCAACAGTTATAGAGTCTTCTGTTAGCAAATATTTAGACACAAAATATGGTGACTCACAACCTAAGGAAATGACTTCAAATAAACGTTTACCTTATCTTACTTTAAGTCAGACTAGCAGCTACCATTTCTTCCCGCATCAGTATCGAGTTTATCAAAATCCCCTAAAACCAGACCAAACAAATACGCATAATCCTGGAACTGTTTCTTCAGGAATAGGATTGTCTTCATTGTCACCACTGTTAACCAATAGTCAAACAGTTAGCAAGCACGAAAATCACCCTACTTTTCAGTCTACCAATGTTTCGACATCTCCATCCATCTCTTTGCAGACATGGACAACACAAATAAGTTCTAATACAAGCAACTCATCCAAGTACGTTGATATATTTTTTAAGTATGAAAGAAACGTTGAATAGTTTCTTTTTTTGTTATTATTTTTCGGAAGATTATTAGCTTAAAAAATGTTTCAACAAAACTCATAGATAAATCTTTATTTCACTCGGAACGTTCTTGATGAACCAAAAAAGTGGGATTTCAGTGTAAGAAATGATTTAATTTTGTGTAGTAAATTGTTACATAAATCACCTAAATTTCTGTCTATTTCACACAATCTATTCAACAACTAAGTGAAACTTCCCGAAAATCAGCATGTTTAGACTATAATATAACTATAATTGTTTTTTATTGTTCGTAAATGACTAACTGCTCCATATAATTTTGGTTAACATGTAGTAGCTGTAGCATTTTTCCATACAAATGAAACAGATATAAAGATTTTATAGTAATTATTTGTTGTCTGTTATGTTAAATAAACACTTTGAACAGTTTAACAAATAAATTAATCAAGGCTTATCTCCCTAAGTGTGACTAATGGGAGTTAATCGAATAGTCAGTTAGTCAGTAACAACGTGGAACTTCGTACGTACGTACATCAGTTCGAGTTGCCATACCACATTAGCACAGAGATTCAGTTATCGATTCAAATCCCGTAGTCGTAGAGGAAGTGAAAGTATAAATAGTGATAGGGAACATTAGGGTTTGATGATGTTAATTAAGGAGTATAATCCAGTGGAATAAATTTGGAAAGAAAATAAAGGACATGAAGAATACAGAAGATTAGAGTTTGAGAGAACACAGAGGGTGGATGCACATGCGCCATTGCAAACGATTTTGAGCCATGTCATTCAAGATCTCTAACCATCGGTTGCTATTGTCTCGCGGACCCCAATCGGGTAATCTACACCTACCAACATGGTCAGCAGACTCTGCATTTTGTCAGCGTCTTCTCCAAATAAAACTATGTCATCGGCATATTCTAAGTCAACAAGTGAATTTCCCGGTAGAAGTTCAACTCCTGGAAATTCAGATGTGGAAAGTGTCATCTCTGAAAGCACGTCAAGGACAAAGTTAAACAAGAATGGAGAGAGTGGACAGCCCTGACGAACACCACTTGAGACAGTCAGTTCTGATGACAGTTTGCCATAAGCTCTCACTCGATCAGTTGTGTTTGAGTAGAGAACCTTATTAGGAGGTGCAGGAAGGATTTGAATGTGACCAACTTGGTCTCGCGTGCTGTTACGGGTATGAGGGCTCATGTCACTTCCCGGCTGCCCACATCGTGAAAGGGTATTTCTTGAGGAACCTGAAAAGGAAATCGGATTAGTGTTGGTCTTGAAGACCTGAGAGCGTGACCGCAGAGCCCAAGGGACAAGTGCTTGAGGCTGGTCGCGCACGGTTTTTTCGTGGGAGATTTTTAATGTATTATCTCCGTACTTGTTGAGACCCTACCGCCGGAGACGGAAATCCGTGGGGTAAGGTGAGATGTGACATTTTTAGGGTCAACCTTCCTTGTGAGAAGGCAGCATCGCTGCAGATGCTGGTTGTCCGAGGGAAACACCTTACTGCTGTCACAACTCTGTACAGTCAGCAGTACGACTTCACCCTCAGACCTTGAGTTGCTGCTTTTAGTCTTACCGTTCTCCAATCGACCTGCCTGGCATGGTAGAACCTTCAGGAGCATGTGTTCCAGCCAATATAGCTCGGTTGGGTCTTCACAATAGGCAAGCTCGACCACCACGTCAAGGTAGAGGCTATGGTCGGGCGTTAATTAAATATACTCTGAACAACTTGGTTAGATACATATTTGTTAGATGATTGTCTAAAATTTATTGAATAAATCACACTTTTCAGTTCAACTCTGTCAATTCATAATGCTTTTGGAATTTACAAAATAAACTGACAGTTTGGAAAGACTTTAGTCAATATTCAGGACGGATTTCTCGATTGATTAAGGACTCCTTAGCTAGATGTTTCGACATTTTAATGTTGATATTCTGAGTGATCTTTTAGCTCTGCAAGACAGTTTTCCAACAAAATAAGTAGTAACGATTGTAACCAATTGTTCAAAGTTCACAATATACATATATATTTATATACTATTCCCAACCTTTCCTTTTCATCGTTTGAGGGATTCAAAAAGTCGACGATACTATCAACCCCCAAATCACCACAGAAAATCAACATTTTCTTTGCAATTCCCTATGAATATCAGTCATTCAGTTTGTCAACCGATTTCAACTTCGCTAAGCAATCACTATCATAATCATAATCACCATCTCTCCATACTACAGCCAATTGGTATTATGCCTTCTCCAAATATCTTTGATACAAATCATGATTATTTACATCCTGAACAGACTGAATCACTTAGTTATATTGGTCATGTAAATTTTTCAACACGTTCACCGCTACAAAGTTTGTCTCAACAAAATATTTTTAAAAAATCATTTACATCAAACAGTACAACTGGTACAAGTAAACAGGATAATACATATTCTCTTACTAGTAATCAACACTCATTTAGTCCACAAATTTTACCAGCTTTTACATGTTCTTCATATTCCACAAATCAGTATGGTACCAATACAAAGCCTAATCATACTAATCAATTTCCTATAAATAGATTACGTAATTCAGATAGTAAGTTCACATGGTTTATTTTACACTTCTTTTAACATTACGGTTTTTTTTAACAAAAATGTTATTTGAACGAAGAATATCCTTTTCGATAAATTCTCTTCAAGATACATAATTGTAGAAGCTGAAGAGAATTTATCGAAAAAAATATTCTTCCTTCAAATACTAGTCTTTTAATATGACGAGGAGCGTTAAACGATTAAAAATGTTATTGTGTACCATATTTTTGGTAAAGCAACATGAAGGAGAAATTCTCTTGATTAATATTTATTTGTTTGTAGAATGTCATCATTTATGAGTAGCTTTTGATCAGAATGATAGATGATTTTTAGGTTGTTGGAAATAGTTGATTCTGTAATAGATTTTTTATTTATTTGCCGTTCTAAGATAAGAGACCATATGTTACGCGAAAAACATTCTAAGAGTTTGATAATACATAATAAGGATAGCGAAGAAAGGAATTCATTATACTCAGTTTAAGTAGTTAATTATCTATGATACTTGTCGAGGGAACACTAATAAAAGTGATATTTAAAGTCAGAATGTTTCATTACAACCTCATTTGCTTTATAGATCATGTAATAGTTGGTATTAGTAATTTTTTTTACAATATAACATATATATAATCCAAGTTGGAACTTATTAGCTGTTCTTCAAACCTCTATTGTATTTCATCTGTGTTCTTATACTCACTATTATAGAGTTCTGGCTTGGAAGCTTACCCAGAAGATGAATAACAGTATATTATTTGAAAATAAATTCTAGATATTTACTCATCTGTATTCCTTATGATGAGTGAATATATATTCGTAATGTTTCAAGCATCTGTCAGGTATTTCTGATATATTTTGAAAATATTATGACTACTGAAATATTATTATTTATTCTTTATCGACACATTTCTCTATGAATTCCTTGACGCTTGTAGACAACTAAAGAAAAATTGATTACCCATAAATTCTAGATATTCTTTTTTTATTCTTACTATTTATATTAACCTCTAATTTTAATAATTATTGTAATAATAAATTTTCTATGGCCTATCTTCAAAGGTTTAGCTCTTACTTCTTAACAAAAACTAAATATAATTTATTATCTTGTACATTTTTGCTTTTCTATTAACAAGCAAAAAACAATACTGAAATATACAGTTAAACAATACTTGAACTAATTAGTATATTACAGATATTTCAGGTCACAAGTAAACTGCTAAAATATGACACAACCGTTTGTTATGTTCATGTTCGAGATACTATATTCTATACATTTTTTATATTTAGTTTGGATAACCAATGTTTTAAACTGCCTAAACCCGATTATATGTGGAAGATTTATTAAAATACTAGGAAGTGAAAATGACATTTAAATATTACTTTCATAAACATCATACACTATTAAAAACAGCTATCAGGCTTCTTCAATGATGCTGTCAGTCACTGGTTAAATTCATTAGATTATGTCATAAATTCCAACATATTACTTACTGGGTAATTTTGACCTATAAATCTATTAAAATGTTGTTGGATAACAGTGAAATAAATCTATCTAATTAGTTTGTATTCATAATTAGTAAATAATTTGCAAGTTATTTATTTATAGTGATTTTTTGTAAAAATCAAGTCTCACCTTCATTTCAATGCTTCAATTTAATGTTATTTTGCTGAATGAGCCGATTATTTACATGAATTAGATCAACTCAAACTCAACCGAACAAAGAGAATCTGCCACTTGTAAACATCAATGTTAAACACCCCATAATGGCAGTTTAAGAATTTGTCTTAAGATCATTTCTCTACGTTGTTGTGTTAACAGACGAGAATCTGTTGTAAAATCCCTTGACAGACGTTTTTTCACGTGGCTATATTTTCTTTTTCCTGATGCGTAAAATCATCCCACTAACAATATATATATATATATATATATATATATATATATATATATATATATATATATAGTGTTTACCTTTTGATCTATCTGAAATTATTATTACTATCTCGTTATTGTTTTAAGGTTTTGATTACTTTTTCGATTCTATTTCGTTTTTTTAATGACGATAATCGATTTTGTTCTAGTTAATTTCATATCCTGGCGACTGTTATGTTGCGTCGACTAGTTCTTGACCATTATTGTTTGATTTGATTAAACTAATCTATAAGGAAAGGATATAAACTTCATTATTGTTCGGATGTTTAGTTTTGCTGACAATTAATTTGTCGTGCGATCCTTGAATTTTCATGTAATTGTTATCTTGTGGTTCAATTGGTTACCTTTGGTATAAATTGGATTTTTTGCGTAAAAGGTCGTTCCCTGATGGACAGGAACATCTTCGATTGACAAGTAATTGTTGCGCATATTAACGCAATTGATTTCTTAATTTCATCCCCCGTATGTTTTTGGGTGTCTAATGGTTTTGTAGACCTAATCAAATACTGTTTAGGAACTCTAAAGTTAGTAACGATAGTAACAATGATAATTTACTAGAAAATAACCACTACTTACATAAAGCATGCCAATTTACAGAGCGAGATCAAATTATTAAAAAAGATTACGAAATTTATTGTAATAAAGTAGACTACTCAGTTCACGCGGTGCGTTATAACGAGAATTTCGCCACAGAAATAGGATAAAAATAGTTAGTGCACAAAATACGTTTGATGGAATTGAAACGGAAATGTACAGCGTAAACGTTGGTGCAATTTGTAGATTTTATAATTCAAGGATGAAATGTTGGCTGTACATAATCCAGATATGATATAGTGGTCTTACAGTTAATTAGCTACATTTTTTGCATGTAAATTGATATCTCTTGTTACTGGTTTATGAGTAGTTGCTATAATAGGTTTTTGGAGAAAGAATTTCTGCTGGAAGTACAATGTAAGGCTACGTTCGAGTTGTATTTTCTGGAAGTATATTTCTTGTGTTGCGTCGCGATAATATATTAAAGGGTAACATATTATATGTTCTGAACATCTTCTCCATCAGTTCTCTTGTTCACACTGATTCGATAGGACCATTATTGTCATGAAACTCGGGGTTGTATTGAGTATGGTCTATACTGGTGTGAGTCCATCTATAAGAAGAAAAATAGCAAAACAGAGCGAGTGACCAAACGTATGTACATATGTCCTGAAAAACACAATGTACTTTTGCCCTATTTTTCTGACTGATCTGTTTGTGTAGTAGACATTGATTCACCTTAAGTAACACATGTCCCAACTATCTCAGTTAATGAAGATAAGCTATCTCATCAGTCGATTTCACAACTTTACATATGTACCTACTCCTAACCCGAGTAATGCTTACTCAATAATCCTAAAATACATAAGTGATGCTTCGAAGATATCTATGGTTCATATACTAAAAGTCTGCCAGTATACTCTATTCTTAATGGTCATTTTTCACATCCATAAAATGGAACGGATCAACCTGCTTCATAGTAAACTCGCTCTCTGTTTGGAAGACAGATATCAAGCTTACGCCACAAGTGATTCAAGTTGACAAAAGCCAGTCTAGCCTTCTCAGTCCATGTCATTATCTCCTCAGACACCGGACAACAAGTCCTGATGACACTTCCGAGACAAGTAAAGCGGTCGAAAAGTTCAACGATATCACTGCCCATCACTATCTTCGGCAATGACTCAAGACAATCCTGAAACATTTTACATTTGAAGGGGAAGAATCGCATTCCGAGCACGCTTGCAGTGTTGCTTAAAGTGTTCAGAAAACTGCGTTGTGTAAACATTTCCACCAAACAGTCAACAGTTGAATCTCCTGGCAGGCGGTCAACCCCTGAAAAGTCAGATGATGAAAGTGTCATCTCTAAAGGCATATCTATGACTAAAATCAACAAAAAGAGGAAGAACGCGGATAATCTTGACGAACAACACTTGAAGTAACCAATTCCGATGACAAATTGCCACACGCTTTAACTCAACCAGAAGTGTTCGAGTAGAGATCCTGTACAAAGTTCATATATTTCTTTGGTGCTCTTTTCGAAGTCAGACACTTCCACAGGACCTCACGATCAAGAAGATGGGCGATTTATTAATGCCAAAGAATACGACTATAGTTGTATGTCGAAAAGTATGACCACGTCTCAGGAGCTGCCTAAGGGCAGATATTTGATCTGCACATCCATATTCAGATCGGAAACCAACTTTTACAGTTAATTCCACAAAGATGCATTCCTCGCAGTAGTCAAGGCACTACCGCGCGAATTCAACAGGTACGTAACACCTAGTATGTTTACTAGTGATCTTTCTGAACAATACGAAACTCTTAAACGATCCATCCTTAAAGGTGGAGATCTAACCGATCGACAAAGGTTAGACCAAATTCTCAACAACATCGACTTGCAACATGGTTCTGCGACAGATATGTTGCAAAGGATGAGAGAAGTTATTGCCCAAAGAACCTTCGATGATGGCCTGTTAACACAACTTTTCGAATCCAAACTTCCTCAACAGGTGCAAGCTGTGCTGGTCTCGTTTTAAAACAACGCAGTAAACGAGCTGGCTGCATCTGCCGACCGTATCCTGGAAATCACAAAATCTTCTAATGCCGAGGTTTTTCAGCCAAAGAAAAGCCTCAGACGACCCAGAATGACATAACAGAGTTATGTCATCACAATTGATTGATCACTGGGTGGTGACCAATGTTATGCGTGTCTAGTCCTTATTATTAGTGCATATCGAATGCTATCGACCATGTTGCAATGTGGCCACCAGTCTAGGTGACTCGACGCTGCGGGCACTATTGTGAGATTAAATGGTGTTTGGAGGTAGTCGACGGGAAACGCTGGACCCATATTTCGTGCTGCTTGGCACTCGTCAGTAAGGTGTACCTGTAATCTCTGAGGGAACTGGTGCTCCCTGGCGGATTCGATCATGTCACACACTTACATGTTATCTTAAAATTCTTAACGACCGTAAACGGTCACACACCCTGTAAATTGTGGTCGATAAACGAACACACCAATGATAACGTGAAACGCCCACCACCACATTAAATTTCCTGGACCTCGCATGACTATATCTTTTTTATTCACCAATCATAATTTTATGTTCAGCATAAAACAATATTCGCCTTGATGAATCATTTTTTCTATCCTCTAGTTACTCTTCGGTATGTTATTTATGTCTCTGTTTTCCCTGTGTTGTTAAAAGACTGTACTGTTTACTTTGTATACTAACGGTGTTAATTTATGTTCTAGAAACAGATAAAGTTTATCAAGCCTAATATCTTACTTGTTCTGACTTTGGCTAAAGCAAGACTCTGTGTTCGACAGTCTAGAGAATAGCTTAGTTACACATGTAGGAAATTGCTTCATACACACCCCGCTAAGAAGCACTTCATGTAGGCGATCTGTCTCTAGATCTCGAGAGATGGATAACCCTGACTGGTGCTGGTATCATAATCAGTATGGAAAGTCCTACAGAAATTGCAGAAAACCCTGCAATTTTCACAACTCAAAATCAATCTACACGACAAAAGATTCGGGAAACTTACAAGCCAGTACTCGTTGACGGCAACCGTAACCGGAGAACATAGCCGTCTGTTATACGTCACTGATGTGATGACAAGAGTTCGCTACCTCCTCGATACTGGCGCAGAAGTTAATGTTCTCCCAGAAAATTTCAACGACCGGCTTCACGAATCGGTTTTAAATCTTCAGGCGGCAAACGGAAAGCCTATCGATACGTATGGCAAAAAGTACGTTATCTTAAGGTGGGTTTACGCAAACCCGTTCACTGGATCTTTGTTGTTGCAGATGTTTCTATGCCAATCATTGGTATGGACCTTCTACAGAACCACAACTTAAATATCGATACGTGCAAACGGAGGCTAGTAGATGGAAATACTAATTTATCTGTTTGCGTAACTTCTTTTTATGGTTGCAGGTTATCTCCAGTCACTATTAAGCACACTATAGACCCATTCTATCAACCAATACTCCATAAGTATCCTGGCATCTACCAACCGCAACCGAAATCGCTGTGTGTAACCAGCAACGTTACATATCACGTCATGACTACAGGACCACCTATATTCTCTAAAGCACGCCGACTGGCTCCCGAAAAGTTAAGGTTGGCGAAAAACGAA